CAAAGCTAGTAACTGATAAGAACAACAGTCAGACAGCAGAACCACCCGTCAGAGTAAGCGCCAAAAGTCTTACCATTTAAATTTCGCAATAGCTAATTAGAAAACCTTCGGAGCACTTACCAGTGTTCGACCACATGAGAAAGATATCAAGTCACATGAGAATACCTTAGAGAAAAGCCTAATCACAGAATATTTCATATTGCACTATTGAGAAAGCTGCGGTTCATTGGGCGACGTGTATCAACCATGGTGACAACTACAACTACAGATGGCGATTATTTAGACTTACGACAGATGTATTATCCAAAACGATACATCACAAAGACGAAGTGCAAAGCTTCTCAGAACTGCGCAGTGTCTGGATGTGATCGTAAAACCTGTGAAACAACTCGCAGATTAGTAGGAGTAAGCAAAATAGGTTTTTGTCACCGAATTCTTGCAAGAGGCTTTCGTACCAAGCGTCTGAGTACTGCACAAATGTTGCGATTGGGATACAATTAACATTAGAGCGTAGATATAGATGCAGTGAGTGTGAGAGTCTTTCCTTCATCCACACACTTGGAGCAACGAAGTTTCGAATAAAAGAGTTCAGGGTTATGAACTATTGAGAACTGTTGTAAGGAGCTGATCATCGGCTTTAGGTACACCTTCGCAGGACAGGCTTGTGTTAATACTCATACTTACGCACAACGTGCGGCTCTTTCCGTTTTCGCTCAGTGAAAACGTTTTGCAAGCATTCACTCATTTCCTCAATGTTCTTGCAGGAAGCGTTAAACGATGAGATAGAATAGCATGCAGTGAGTGCAAATTTAGACGACGTCGCATAGGAATGTGCTATGCGCTATAGTATAGAATGGCGCAGCACATGTCCCACGGAGCTCTAGTTCCAACTCTCTCGAAGTACTAACGTGACAACTGTATCCGAACAGAATATCGAAAGATGAACATGAGATTTTAACATTACCCATGAAGTTCAATGCATATATCTTGCTAGTACAAAGAAATTTTTCAGGATAGTAGAGTCTTTCGTCCAAGTGCATGAATGAACTGTGATCGTGAGTGAATGACCAATCAATTTCTGGGTTCTTCGATCCCTCAGAGTTTCACCTTACCCTCAAAGGAAGAGAACCGAAGATTGGAGAAAATGCAAATATTCTCAATTCTACGATATGAGTAACCTAAAAGATAAGCTCATTGGACAAGAATTGTATTTTGGTTCAATTATAGATCTTACAATTGCGACAGACTATGCTGCGCTGCCTCGTGATTGATTCTGCTACTCCTCAACTATTATTGGAGGCTGAAACTTGTCGCATAAATTCCCTATCATCTTGTTTACCAATTGTGATAGTCTAAAGTGCAAAAAACTGTCTTTGTAAAATAACTGAACCATTAAACTGTCCAGAATACACCGGCAAGTAGTGTGTTCAGATTTCGTCGCTATCGACCGTTAATAAGTTGCTCAAAGATATTAACGGTTGTTAACCTCAAATCACACCTCCATTAATGTGTTGGCTGCGACTTGACATATACCAACCCTCGGGGCTAGTATATTGTTCGTTAGTGTGTACAGGAAAGCTCAAATGATTGAACGAAAGAACTCTGAGGCATGCTGGCCTCCTGTCCTAAGATACAGTTAGCACTAATTGTCGTTATTATATCAGAGTAATAAAACTGACTCTAAGCAGTATCCTGTACCGCTGGATAGCTGCTAGGTCGGCTATTCTTTTGTCTTTCCACTAATATCTCGCCAATGAAATTTTCACACTGATTACATGACCTCTCGAAAATATATTTCTATTACCTTTTGCTGATACTCATAGAACCCAGAAATATCTGAGTAAAAAGTCTCCTTTTAGCTCCATATTATTGTAGAAGTTGAAATGTGGCAAAACTAACGGGTGGGCCATAAAGAATGACCCTCTCAGTATTTTGCATTTTTCTCATCTATAATTCAGCTTAGAAAAAAAAATTTTTTTATAGAAAGATTCCTCGTCAAATTCTCTACAAAACGTAGATATTTTTATTGTCTTAAATAGTTTTCATTATATTGTGAGATGTGATGCAATCGATTTGTCTAAGACAGACAACTTTCAAACAAGAAGTTTTTCATAGATGCTTCCATGAGAAGTCAACCAAAAGCACGTAAAGTATTCAGAAAAGTTTTCTTGAGGGTAAGACTTTTTGTAGAGCTTTTTTCGCTGATTATTTTGGTAAAAAAAATTTTTGAACTCTATTGACAAATAGGGATGTTAGTCGAAATACTAAACAACCTTGAAATGCAGTTTTTTCTGATCAGTAAGCGTAAAACGTCGGTTAGCATATCTCAAAACGACTGTATTGTGAAGATATATGAGATAGTTAGTTTTGTAGAGGAAGATTTGCTCTACAAAACTCTTTAAGTGGTTTCTCAGATACACTCGAATACTATGAATAAATCTTGATAGAACATCGTAAGGAATATTTATCCTAAAAACAGAGGATATTATTTTTCTATATGAATATCTTCAACAATGTTTTATCAAGATTTATTAATAGTATTCAAATATATTTGAGGATTCGACTATACTATGTTGTAGAGCAAACTTTCCTCTACAAAACCTACTGAGTCACATTCCTCCATAGTACAGCAATTTTGAGATATGCTAATCCTACTAAAAACCTCTTGTTTGAAAGTTATCTGTCTTGAACAAATCGATTGCATCACATCTCACAATATAATGAAAACTATTTAAGACAATAAAAATATCTACGTTTTGTAGAGAATTTGACGAGGAATCTTTCTATAAAAAAATTTTTTTTTCTAAGCTGAATTATAGATGAGAAAAATGCAAAATACTGAGAGGGTCATTCTTTATGGCCCACCCGTTAGTTGCACCTAACGAAGTTTAGGTTGAAACACTTAATAGAGTATCTGGATAAATTGCCTTATAATTGAACCTCATCTCGATATCAATCATGACTGATGCAGAAACCCCACCGTGCTATACATGGAGCGCTTTTTTGAAGAGCCGGTTGTAGCGTATGTCGTCCTGCCAATGTCTGGTTTCGTATTTTGATGTATTACATGATAGCAGATGCATTCTTTTCAGATTGAGCTTGCCTTTTATTAATGGCGACTAAAAAGAAACCACGAGGTAAGTTGGCACTTGTAATTGGGATTGGTAAATATGACCATTGTGAAGAATTACAAAATCCAGAAAATGATGCGCATGATATGTCTGATGCTCTGGAGAGTATTGGTTTTCTTGTTACAAAGAAACTAGATCTAAAACGTGCTGAAATGAGACATGTTGTTATTGATTTCGAAGAATCAATAGAGCCCGACGACATGGTTCTATTTTATTTTGCTGGACATGGGATACAATGGGAAGTATGTATTAAGTTTTTACCATTAAAAGTTACTTCAATTTTCTATGAGCGGTTTATTTGTGGTACTTTTAGGATCAAAATTATTTGATACCAAGAGACACTCCGACTTTGAATGGTGCAGATTTAAACAAGAGTGCGATTAATGCACAAGGCATTCTTAACACATTAATCGATTGCAATCCATATGTAACAGTATTCCTATTGGATTGTTGTAGAACCTATCACTTGCGCAATCCCGATATGAATGCACGTAGTCTCGATGCAAGCGATACAAAACCAAGAGGCCTCAAAGCCATGTATAAGGCTGGCTCATTGATTGCATTTGCTTGCGCACCTGGAACTATAGCCATCGAAGGAAAAGGACAGAAAAACAGTTTATTTACAAAACATCTTCTAAAACATATTAAAACTCCGAATGAAGATATTCGAATGATATTAAGTGATGTTACCGATGGAGTAATAGAAGAGTCGAAATCACAACAAATTCCTTTTTTGAGTGTTTCATTATCAAAGAAGAATATATATTTATATGGTCAACGGCGAGATCGACCACGTGAACCAGGTAAATATGCTAGTAAATATCTAGTGTTCTTGTTTAGATGAATCAAAAGAATGCCATAACAATTTTGCGAGTGAAGTGTCTTTGATTCTAAACATTTAGAAAATAGTCAATGAGACATTTTTAGCATTTGAATTGTTTCTCGGTGTAACCTGAGTTAAATGTTATAGATAACATCATCAAAATAAACAGAGAACTTGGGTGCATCCCTGGTCTCAGTCTTTATAATACTTGCGATTTTCGTAGCTTGGTGTGGCTATTTCTTAATTACGAGGGAAACTCTTCAGGTATTTCATCATTTCAAAGCTCATATTTTGGACATATATAGAGATTCACTGGCATAGTCTAATGCTAAAAGGATATGTGTGCATCGTTCTCTGAACGAGCCATATCGTATTTTTAAATCATATTTCTTTGAACTGGAATTTTTATCAGATGCAGCTGATATCAGAATCCGACTATGGTAGAAATTTAAGTATTATCATTAATTGACTCGCGAAGATGTTGAATTTAGAACAACCAGTCGGAAATCTGATGCACCCCTAAGAACACTACCAAACGAAGCAAGCTCTAAATGCGCTGACATTTTTATTGATTTTGACTCTGACGATTCTTTTTCGCGTTGAAAAGCTGATTTAGAGAAAAACACAAAACATGGCGAAACACAATATTCTGTATAATACTTGGGTCATACTTAAAACCAAACTGGCTAGTTACGGGTCCGGCATGGTTGAAATTTTAAAGCCAATCGTTTTTCATTGATTTTTTATTGATTTTCTCTTCGGGCATCAAAGCTGTTCTATTTCACTCATTTTTAACAATTTCCACAGTTTTAGTGATGAAAAGATAAAAGCCTGGCAATCTCCAACTAATAAATTTTCAGCCTTTGTTAAAATCTCAGCTCTGAATAGTGAGTTAACACTTTCTCATCGTAGGATGATAGTCTTGGATCATGCTGAATAAAATTATGCTCAAAAAAAAATTAGCTAGATATTAGATGTTGGTTTTGGTCTAAACTAACGATTTTTCACCTCAAAATTTTGAGCTCATTATTCTGAATTCTTTCTAACCGATACTCACAAAACCCCAATAGCTAGTAGTTTTCAGTTCACGATGTCATTACAAAATATTAGAAAAGATTCCTCACTACTATCAAGATTTTGCCAAATACAAGCATCATACAACTATGAAAATATAGAAATATTAATAAACTTTAAACTAGCAAGTCTAGTGGAAAAAACGTACGTCTCAACTTACTTTATCTTTTTATCTCCAATAGCATGCTTCTAGGAATTGAGATACCATTCAGCTTTGTTAAATAATTACATCTAATAAGAATCGATGAAACTAATCAATTTGAAAGAAATCTTTGTTCGTAGTTGAGGGTGTGGAAGTGTGGGATGTGAGTGAAGACTAGTCGCACATTCATACTCACATCCCATCACCCATATCCACACTCGTATCCACACCTACGCCCCGTACCCACAGGATGTGAGTGTGGGTGTGCGACTAGTCTTCATCCACACCTTACACCCATACTCATAAGTGGACACTAATGAACTTCCGCAGCACTATACAACAAATATGAATGTATGTGAACCTTTGCACTGCACATCAAGTATTCTACGATGTTAGAGTCAATTGGTCGATTCTTCCAGAGTTGCGAATATTGTCTTTAGAATGACCCATTGTCACAAAAGTTTTTTTTTTCTAGAGTTGAAAAGATAATCAAAAGAGAAGAGTTTAAATTTTGTACGATTTCTTAACAAGACTATTCAAATTGTGAACCATGCTGGAATTACTACGATCTAACATAATACTATCTAATAAAGATAGCATTCTTATTCAAGATCAGCTCACCTATTGACGTTAAAAGATTTTAGTATATATTTTTGTACTTTAGAACAGTTACAAGGCTTGTTACACATGTCGGATCAGGATCTACAATTAAATGAGGAAATTGGTCGTGGAGCCTTTGGAATAGTTTATCGAGCTCAATGGTTAAGTCAACACCACACAGTTGCTGTCAAGAGGTTACATCTTACTCAGTTGGATAAACAAGCCGAAAAAGATTTTTTCAAAGAACTTTCGTTGATGCATAGTATTCGTTATCCTCACATTGTCACTTTTTATGGTGCATGTATAGAACACGGAAAGTATGCATTAGTAATGGAATATATGTCATTAGGATCGTTGTACCAGGTTCTGCATAAAGATAAACTACCATTAGATTGGTTTCAAAGATTATCCATTGCTTTACAAACAGCCAAAGGCATCAATTATTTGCATATGTTACAACCACCCATCTTACATCGTGATATCAAGTCGTTAAATTTTTTGTTAGAAAGATCGTATGAAGGTTACATCGTGAAAGTGTGTGACTTTGGTTTAGCTCAAACACGAAATGAAACAACACGACAATCCCTATTGACTCATGTGTTACCTTGTACATTGCAGTGGACTGCTCCTGAAATACTGCGTTTAAAAAAGCACACTGATAAAAGTGATATTTACAGCTTAGGAATAGTATATTGGGAACTAGCTGCAAATGAAATACCTTATGATGAACACCAAAATGCCGTCATTCGTGAATTTGTACTTTCTGGCGACCGCTTGAGAATACCCAAGACCACACCATCGAACTTTTCTGTCCTGATCAAAAAGTGTTGGGCCAACGATCCCAACGAACGGCCCAATTGCTCTCAACAGATCGAAGTCATTGAAGAATGTATCAAAAAGCAAAGTAATATCGTTTTTTTTCTTTGCTTTACAGAAGCGGGGTAAATTCATACGAATCGTGTAATAATAGGAGAACTAGGTAGATTGTTTCATAATATTCAATTACAATAGATTTGTCAAAGTGCTTGAATGAGAACAATAAACGAGATAGACCAGTAGTATCAAACTTGAAAACTGAATTCAATTATTGTTTTACTGTTCACGTATTCAACTAATCAGCACTGATTTTCTTTCGTGTTAACACTTTGTAGCTCCCTCAGCAAGATAGATGCTCTGCTAAAGTACTTTCGTGAAATACTTGTATAGGTGAATTTACTGTTTATTTATTTCAATACTTAAATTTTAACTTTTCAAGCTTCAGCTTTTAAGTCTTAACATGTGTGAAGAAGATGATAAACACAGATCATGTCTACAAACTTGAAAGTTAAGTTCAATTCAACTTTCAACGACACCCAGATTTCTCTCGATATGAGTGCCATAGAAAAATAGACAATTGAAAATTGAATGTTAACTTGATTTTAACTTTCAAGTTTCACGCTACTGATTTTTTCCCCTAATACATTTTCAATTAACCATATTAAAGAACTACTCTAAATTGTGAATAATACAATTTTGTCTCTGCTGAACTGAATTTGCTTCTTTTTTTTCTACTGGAATAATCGCTTTACGATAGAAAGATCAGGATAAGTAAGAAGTCAAACAATAGATATTGATCACTCAAGACATTCAAAAGGAGGAAAAGCTGAAGTTTTGATTGCGATTGATTGTTTTCATCTTTTCTCTATGAGATAATCGATTCGAGTTATTTATAACAACTTCATGCACTCTAATTCTTATTAGCAGGCTGATAATCTTATGTTTTCGTCTGTAAATTGATCCATTTCAAAGTAAAGTTCAGGAAATGCAAAATTTCGATTGTATTCTATTGTTCACTAATATGATTTTTTTTTAAAAGTCAAATTATAGATAAAATCCAATATATGATCAACAGTCATTTTTTGTTTAATAAAACTTTTGTATTTGCTCTTATTCTTATTTCCAAGACTATCTAGATATCATTGATTCTGATTAAGTATCGAAAACTAAATAGAAAAATATGATTTAATTCAGTTTAAAACTAACAAAAATTTAAAAAATTCTGTCCGATCAGGATCGCCTGTGTATAGATCTTCTGGGCGAAATTGTCTTCACTTGTCATTATGTTCTATATTGTATCGTTTAGTCGCCAACTAATCACTAAAGTTTCTTGCTCTGCCGGTACCAACTAATTATTTACTAACATTGACATGAACAGATTGATAGAATGCTCCATTTGTTAGTTATACCTCGCTTTTGAGGACCTAAGGACTATTTTCCTGTTCGAGCGTGAGTAGAGATGATGTGCCAATCTGTTAAGTGGCACAACAGTTGATTGTTCTTAATGCTGATTAGTCGAAAGTTCGAATAGTTGATAAGTTAGAAAGGGATTCTATACTCATTTTCACTTCTCACATCAGGATATATATCTAGGAAGTTCTGCAGATCAGATATATCGGTCACATCTGTTTAATTCTATACTGCTCACATAAATCAATGATACGAGGAAACTAGATTAGAAATCTTAGAGAACGATCACTAAATTCGCGGATGTATATAAATTTTCACACAAAAGAGGAGATGCATCTTTGATCTTACAACAACGAAAACTGTATCAGAATCGATAGTGCCGATAAACTAATAGTTTCTCTTCGTGGTCAATATTAATCCCAAAAACATTTCACTCAAGTAAAATGCTTAAGTCATCATCTGTAATAAAAATTAACATGAGATCAAGCAGATGCCATATAGAATACAAGAATAAATAAGCTAGACTGATATGAAAAAAGACGTAAGATGATGTCAGAAGACTCTAAACCACTGAGCAGTCATCCTATTCCGCGATGTTCAACATCGTGCAATCGATTCC